GCCCCCGGGGGGGGGGAATTGTATCTGCCCCACGGAGACGATGAACACTCAAGACAAGCGGCAACAACAACAACAACAACAACAACAACAACAGACGCCGCAGCCCGAGCCGAACAGAACAGCCACCTGAGGAGGCTGTACTTATGTACCCAAGATAACACGTACAAAGTCGGTGCCCGCTGCAGCACTGCTGTGCGGTATGAAAAGAAAAGGTAAGCTTTTGTCCCTGCTCGATCTCTCGGCAGCCAAGAGGGGCACCAGACCCTCTAGTCCTAATAAGGAAGGATCCCGCTGGAAATATCTCAGGGAAATGATTCCGAAGCCCTACAAGTACCGTAAACAAGGTGGAGAGTCACCTGGACTCGGACTCGGGTGGGGTTCTCGTGGGGTCATTCGCGACGTCACTCAACACCGTGCGGGTCGACCGTACCGTGATGACGGAGTCTGTCTAGCGGTCAGTGTATCAACAACACCATGCTATTTCTCTCTCTTCCCCCCCCCCTCTTTCTCTGTCTCTCTCTCTCTCTGTCTCCCGTGCGCAACAAACGTCCCGGGGAAGAGAAACCTCAACCAGAGAAAACTCGCAAAGAAAAGGGGACGTCCGTACCTAAGCTTCTCTGCCGCGCCATCTTCAGCACCTGGTGGACCTTCGACTTCCTTCCCGCCCCCCTCAGACCCGGTCCCTCCCGCCCCACGGGGGCGTTTACCCTTGGCGCTTCGGTTCAAAGCCCCGCCGCTTCGCGCTCGCTGATCATGATTTTCTCTCCAATCCGCTGCCTGCGCTGCACTATCGCTCGTGCCCCCGTCTTGTCTCCCGCCGCCGCCGCCGCCGCAAACGGTCGTGTACGCCGGGCTATCGCTCAGAGGGGCGAGGAGAGAGAGGGCTGTTCCGGTCGCCGGGGGGCGCTTGCCTCGCGAATCCACCCCCGCCCTCGAGGCGCGGTCGTGGTGGTTTCCTCCAGGGGCCGATGTCCTGGCGCCGCGTTTGCCGCCTTTTCCACAAAACTCACCGGCGGCAGCGGCAGCGGCGGCGGCGGTGGTGGTGGCAGTCTCTGCGCCTCCCGCCGGCACCGCAGCTGCCCCGCTCCCGCTACCGTTGTTGGCACTCCTGCTGCCTTGATCGCATCCCAGCGCCGTCACGGCTGCTGTGTCCGTGCTTGCTCCGCGCGTAGCACCTGTTGCCGCTGCTGCTGTGCCACAGTTGCCACCGCCACCGCCACCGCCGCCGCTACCGGCGCCGGCGCAGGTGCCGCCGTCGCTGCCGCCGTCCGGAAGCCGTCTTGTCCTACCCTCGGCATGATCGAGCATGGCCTGACGCACCAGCTGCAGCCGCTTCGAGACCTTGGCCTTTCCCGTGCCTGCTGTGTTTTTCTGAAGGAATCGGAGTTCCAGTCGCCGGCTCTTTTGGGGATGCGGACCGCAGGAAGGCACATGAGGGGGGGGAGGCAACGACAACACGGAGGTTTACGTGGCGTTCGGGGCTAGAGTGCGTTTTACCCCTGGGACATATCGCCCGCGTCTGCTACTACGGGTGTACCAAACCGCTGCAGCTGTCGACAAATTAGAACCCACCATTGCACAACAGCCGCGCCACCACTCCTACTGTCACCTACCTCCCCACCACCACCATCGCCAAGAGAAACAAGTACGGCAAGGGCGGCACCCAAGGAAAACGAGGACAACAACACAGCAGTGGTCGTGGCGGCTCAACCGAGGGCAGCCTATCATACTACCTTCTCGGCCGCGGACACACCTCGCTAGGGGCCCTCGCCGACTGGAGGCCATCATCTCCCCCCATGGTGTCGACATCGCCGCCGCTTTCGGGGGGCTCCTCCAACACCAGCACCGCGCGAGCGACGCCGGCGAGCTCCCTCAGCCGGGGCAAGAACAAGGCCTCGTCCCCGAACCTCCCGGGAAATAGGCGCCACACCAAACTCTGTGTGTGTGCGTGTGGCCGGTAGCGAGCGAGGAGAGGTTGAAAGGGGGGTAAGTGAGGGAGGGGGGTGGGTGGTATCCAACGCTCCACACGCGTCAAGCTACATTCGACCTTGTACACGCCTGTACAATCTACACTCCACCCCAGGACTACGAAGTTCTGCCGCTACAGTATACGTATGTCGTAACAAACGTGTTCACCTCACGCTTCGATGGGCCTTCAGGCCGGGGGGGGGGCGGGGGGGATCCTTACTATTGCCCACACCTTCAAAATTGTGACTTGTTGAGACCATCACACCTGAAGGCTGGCGACGCGAGGGGGGATAGAGTTCTTGATCAGGAAGCAGTAGGCATGATCAACCGCGGTGAAAAGGTCGAGTAGCTGGTTGTGTGCCTCCGAAAGCGAAGTAGCGCCAGCTTCCGCCTGATTCTTCTTGTTGCCTCGCCGTCGCCCCCCTCCCGCTGCCGCCGCTGGCAGCGATAGAGAGAGGGACGGGGAGAGGAAGGTGGAGGTGGCCAGAGAGAGAGAAAAAAAGGTAGAGGTGGAGAGAGAGAGAGAGGCGGGNAGGGAGAGTCGGAGAGAGCGAAACGACCTGCCTATAATCCAGGTATTCCAGGCGGTATATAGCCTCGTGAGCCTATTCCTATCCGTCCAGAACAGCTGAGAGACAGCATGGGGTCTACTGGTCTTTTGCGGTACAGTAGTAGCCCAAGGAGCGACGAGGAGCAACGAAGAAAACATGTGACGGCTTCGACTACACATGTGTGTAGATGCACGAGGAACGAATACATACCAAATGTAAAGTGGAAACCTCATTGCTATTGTTCCGATTGTTTTTTTCAACACTGAATAAGTCGATTGTCCTCCTGTGTCCTCGAAGCGGGAGCTTCAACCCGCTTGTGGAGGTACACTCACTGGCGACTCACGGCGAGCGTCCACTGCTGCTGTACAGTAGTCTACCTGGTAGACAACGATTGGACACCTGCACCTTGACATGTTTTCTCTGTTTTTTTTTGCAGTCAAGACACAAATGGGACACAAGGTGTCTACTGCGGCCTACCATTGCTCGTGCTACCATCCAAATGTTCCAGTCAACAGCTACAAGCGGTGTGGTAACGCGTCAAACTACCACCTTGATACACGCTGCCGCATTTCGCCAGACGGGTCGCGCCAACAAATAGGCACACTATTGTTTTCGTGTCACTTTCAGCACGTCAAGAAAGCGGATTCAAACTTTCAAACAGCCCATCAGATCTTTGGAGGGCACCTTTACTGCTCGATCGCCTCTTGCTCGCCGGTTTTTTTTCACCCGTCGTAGCACTAGACCCTCTCCCCCCGTTCACGTCACCAACGGTGGACTTGACATTCATGTCACACCTAAGCAGGGCGGTGGTGCTGGCACCTCCCTCCAAGGGCACCGCTCCCCGGCTCCGTGCGTGGAGGGGTAGAAATATTGTCCGTGTGCCCCCTCGCAAGCACCACCACCACGTGCTATCACGAATCATATCCTTATCCTTCACCAGCAACCGACAACCGCTCGTACCCCTGGGAGCTGCAAGAAACGACATGGCTGAATACGAAAAGGTGCGAATACCTCGCGCACGTTAGCACAAGCGTAAAAGCTTTTGCCGTAGTTCCAAGAGTCCCCGCTTACAATGAAGTGTCTCTTTCTCCTCTTCCCCTGCTGTGTGTGCATGTGATGCGGGTTCTTTTACATTCAACGACCCGCTCGTCTCTCTCTATCCGTTCTCTCGCTCTTTCTCTCTCGTGGCGTTGCGAGCACCGTGTGGTTTCGAGTGGCCTGAGTCGGGCGAAGCAGGCTTATTCTTTGGTTGGGGCTTGCAGGACTAGACTGCAGCAGCAGTAGTACTGTTAGCGTGGAGTTGTTCTCCAACAGTCCACAGCCCATTCTCGGCTGCCAATCTGGGATAGCTAACATGATGTTCTTCACCACCACACGAAGAGTTGTTCGGCTTTTGCCGTGCAGCCCCACCCCCCAACCCCTCCCTCCCCAACAGCGGCAGCTTACAGACTCTGCCAGCCTTTCCACTGCAACAATTACACACCGGTACACGTTCCAGATTGTCACGAATTGCATCATCATCGACTCCTCCTAATATTCGATCGTCTCCATAACAAGGAGCCAGCGCAATGGGTTATGACCTCAGAGCACGTTCGGGGCTCAGGGTTGAAACCTTGATTGCTCCATGGGAGAACAAATGGCGGGGCCTGATAGGTTGGCGTTTGGGTAGACATCTCACGGGGAGAGCTATCCGAGTGCGTACCGTTCGATATGTATCGGCATCCTCGTCCTGGGAGGGCGTGGAGAAATGCATTAAAGATTCATATTTCGCTCGATGATGATGTGATGATGATGCTGGATGGTGATGAGGCCCTCGCCGTTGTCCCAACACTCGCTGCGGATGGGAAGATAGACGTATTATCTTCATGGAGGCGGAGCACCCGGTCCGGTCGCGTGGTGGCGAGGGATGCCAAGCGTCGTAACCGAGCGTTGCAACTCAGACGGGTTCGGTTGCAAGCAGCATTGGGGTGGAGCGTGTGCCGTCTCGTGGAGCCTGTGTCCTCCGTCGTGACGACTCCCGACAACGTCCCGACGAAGCTCCTGGTCCCAGCAGTACCTACCATGACACAAGATAACACACCCTGGACCGATTTTTCAAATCTTGATTTCTCAACAGCAGAAAGGGTCACAGCGCCGAAATGGTGGCGTTCAAGCTGTCTCGTCGAGAACTTTCCGAAAATGTGTTGTTTCATTTATTCATCCTCTTCGTCGTGGCGTAGTCGAATTTGGTCCAGGGGGTGTGTTATATCGTGTTATATTAGGTATAGCATGCCGCGGAACATTCCTCGGATCGGGAATACGGGAAAAATCCAAATTTCGGACGTTTTCCGTTTACCGTCGTGTGGCTGCATGCTGCATGCCTATGGTTACGGCTATCAGGAAGTGCAGAACATCATATTTATTCTTGCCGCTGCTTGACGCCATGTACGTACGCCAAAATTAACCCGCCTCCTTGTAGTGCCACAGCAATATTTGATTTGTGTGTGGTGCGGAAAGTTATGCTCCCCCCGGTGTTTGCCATCGGGATTTGCCATCGGGATTGGGTTTTCGTCGCTTGGCAACGACGTTGTAAAACAAGCC